TTTGTATTCTGGATATTAACCCTTTATCAGATATATGATTTGCAAATATTTTCTCTCATTCCATAGGCTGCTTTTTGTTTTGGTGTTTCCTTTGACACTCAAAAGGTTTTAAGTTTGATGTAGTCTTATTTGTCTGTTTTCGCTTTTGTCACCAGTGCTTTGGTGTCATAGCCAAGAAATTATTGCCAAATTCAATGTCCGGAAGCTTTTCTTCTCAGAGTTTTATAGTTTTAGGTCTTACGCTTAGGTCTGTTTTGAGTTAATTTTTGTATATGGTATAAGGTATGGGTCCAATTTCATTCTTTTGCATGTGAATATCCAGTTTAAAAAAAAACATTTTTTGAAGAGACTGTCCTTTCTCTGTTGTTTTTTGTTTTTGGGGGTACGCGGGCCTCTCACCGCTGTGGCCTCTCCCGTTGCGGAGCACAGGCTCCGGACGCGCAGGCTCAGTGGGCATGGTTTATGGGCCCAGCTGCTCCGTGGCATGTGGGATCTTTCCGGACCGGGGCACGAACCCGTGTCCCCTGCATCGGCAGGCGGACTCTCAACCACTGCGCCACCAGGGAAGCCCACGAATTGACCATTCAGTTAAAAACATGCAAGCCATCGGGGACCTTGATAAACGCTGCTCTGGTGAAGAGGCGGAGGCTAAAACTTAATTGTAGTTGGCTCAAGAGAAAATTGGAAGAAAAAAACTAGCAGTAGCAAATATAGAGCTCTCTTTTGAGGAGTTTTGCTGTAAAGGGATAGGGAAAGATGGGGCAGTAGTTGAAGGCAGAAGTGGGGTCAAGGGAGAGCTTTTTCAGCATTGTAGAAATACCAGCATGTCTGCATGCTGAATGAAAAAGATCCAGTAGAGAGAGAAAAGATTGATAGATTGATCATGGGGCAGACAAGAGAATTAATTGCTGGAGCAATGTCCTTGAGTAGGTAAGGAAGGGGGTGAGGGCACCAAGTGCAGAAACACACACACACACACAGAGAGACAGAGAATTTTGTGCTAGGAACAGAGACCATTTATCTCAAGTAATAAGAGAAAAGACAGAGTGTATGGGTACAAATGCAGTTAGGTTGGTGGATTAAGATGGTAAGAGCTTAAGTGAAATAGGAAGCAAAGGCACAGCTGAGGGTGAGCGTGGGGGAGGAGATATTAGAGTTCTGAAGAGAAAGGTCATTAAGGATAGAGAATGGACCAGGGCAGTGGAGCATGACTGTCAGTCAGCAGTAAGATTCCTCTTGATGACTGATGATTAATTTTAAATGAAACCAGTCAGCATGTTTTGCATATTTTTTTCCCAGCTACATCTAGCTGTGCAGGTACTGGTGGAAGTAGGAGGGGGGCTGTATTTAACCAGCCTTGCAGTTTGCCTGATAGAGTAAGGTGGATTAAGAAAGGGGGCAAGGAAGTTGATTATAATGATTAACTTTTTTTTTTTGCGGTACGCGGGCCTCTCACTGTTGTGGCCTCTCCCGTTGCGGAGCACAGGCTCCGGACGCGCAGGCTCAGCGGCCATGGCTCACAGGCCCAGCCGCTCCGCGGCATGTGGGATCTTCCTGGACCGGGGCACGAACCCGTGTCCCCTGCATCGGCAGGCGTACTCTCAACCACTGTGCCACCAGGGAAGCCCTATAATGATTAACTTTTGAGTTCAGTGAGATGTGAGATAGAGGAAAACATCTAAGTCTGCTAGGCACTTAGACTAAATATATGCATTATCTCCCCACAATCACGCCATGGAACTGCTTAGCCTCCTTTTACGGATGAAGAGGCTGAGATTTAGGAAGACTGAGGCATATCCCGGAGATATTGCGGGTCCAGTTCCAGACCACCGTAATATCACAGTAAAGCAAGCCACAGGAATTTTTTGGTTTCCCAGTGCATATAAAAATTATGTTTACACTATACTGCATTCTGTTAAGTGTGCAATAGCATTGTGTCTTAAAAAAAAAAAGACAAACCAATGTACAAACCTTAATTTAAAAATACTTTATTGCTGGGGCTTCCGTGGTGGTGCAGTGGTTGAGAATCTGCCTGCTAATGCAGGGGGCAAGGGTTCGAGCCTTGGTCTGGGAAGATCCCACATGCCACGGAGCAACTAAGCCCCTGAACCACAACTACTGAGCCTGCAGTCTAGAGCCCGTGAGCCACAGCTACTGAAGTCCACGTGCCTAGAGCCCGTGCTCTGCAACAAGAGAAGCCACTGCGATGAGAAGCCCACGCACCGCAACGAAGAGTAGCCCCTAGCCCCCGCTTGTGCAACTAGAGAAAGCCCGCACGCAGCAACGAAGACCCAATGCAGCCAAAAATAAAATAAATAAATTTATTTAAAAATACTTTATTGCTAAAAAATGCTAAACATCATCCGAAAATGCAAGGTTGCCGCAAACCTCAATTTGTAAAAAATGCAGTATCAGTGAAGCACAAATAAAGCAAAGCACAATAAAACAAGGTATGCCTGTATAACTTGCTCAAGGCTACACAGCTGATAAATGACAGACCCAGAATTAGGCCCAGGAACAATGGTCTCCAAAGATGCACTTAACCGTCTTACTATTTGCCTTAACTGGAGTATTAGCTGGTACTTTTAAATTGATGCATAAACAGAAAGGACGCTGTGTCCAATATATTTTTCCAATTTGTGTTAATTTTAAGATTTTTGGTGTACAGAAATTTTTTAAAGTTTATAGCAAAATCTATTTTACCTTATCTTTAATTCCCTATCCATCCTTAGATTAAACAATCACCTGTATTTTCTTTCAGCTTATTTATCTATTACTTTTGAATCTTTAATCCATTTAGAATTTGGTATGTGTTTTTGTTTATTTTTAATTTACTTATTTTTATTTATTTATTTTTTTGGCCGTGTTGGATCTTCATTGCTGTGCAGCCTCTCTTCATTGCGGGCCTCTCACTGTCGCGGCCTCTCTTGTTGCAGAGCACAGGCTCCAGACGTGCAGGATCAGTAGTTGTGGCTCACGGGCCTAGTTGCTCCGCGGCATGTGGGATCTTCCCAGCCCAGGGCTCGAACCCATGTCCCCTGCATTGGCAGGCAGATTCTCAACCACTGCGCCACCAGGGAAGCCCTTGGTATGTGTTTTATGGTGAGATGCTATTTTTCCCCAGCTTATCAATTGTCCCAGCACTAGTTTTGAAAAATTTATCCTTTTCTTGATAATTTGTAATACACTTTATCATATGTTACAATTTTATAAACATTTGGGTCTGTTTCTGGCCTTCCTGTTTATCTTTGTATTTCTAAATCTGAGGGAATATTTTACCTTACAACTCTTCTTTTCCAAAAATTTCTTAGACAATCTTGCCTATTTGTTCTTTCAGATGCCCTTTAGAATTATTTTTTAAGTTCCTAAAATACATCATTGAAATATTAATTTTAATTATACTAAAATAGTGAATTAATTTGGTAAGAATGCAGGTTCACAGAATTCATTCTACACATTCAAGAATGGCATGTCTTGGGCTTCCCTGGTGGCGCAGTGGTTGAGAGTCCGCTTGCCGATGCAGGGGACACGGGTTCGTGTCCCTGTGCGGGAGGATCCCACATGCCGCGGAGCGGCTGGGCCCGTGAGCCATGGCCACTGAGCCTGTGCGTCCGGAGCCTGTGCTCCGCAACGGGAGAGGCCACAACAGTGAGAGGCCCGCGTACAAAAAAAAAAAAAAAAAAAAAAGAATGGCATGTCTCTAACTAGAGAAAGCCGGTGCGCAGCAATGAAGACCCAACGCAGCCAAAAATAAAAACCTAATAAAAATACAAAACAAAACAAAACAAAAAAACAGCATGTCTCCACTCAACTCTTAATTAAATGGAATAATTTTTTCACTTAGGTTTTATACATCTGTTTAGAGATTACTTCTAGGTATTTTATGTTCTTATGATTATTAGGAATGGAACCTGGTTTTTTCCAGTATATTTTCTAGCTGGTTATTTTTAGTACATAGAAAGTTGCTGATTTAGGGACACTTCTTATATGACTCCACTTAAATTGAAACTCTTAGGTACTAGATTTAATTAATTCTCTTGGATTTTAAAAATAGAATATCATTATATATTCCTTGTAATATTGATAATTTTGTCTATTTTCTAATAGTTTTACTTCTTATCTATATTTTATATTATGATTATAGTTACTAAAACTTACCCAAAAATGTTGAAAAGATGTTAAAACATGTATCCATAAAACTACTGTTAATGGGATGCTTCCAGTGTTTCATGTTACACTCTAACATGCAGTGTAATATTGGCTGTCAGTCTGAGACTGATATTCATAAGCAAGTTCAGGTAGTTGCCTTGTAGACCTAATTTTAAAAGTAGTTTATAAAAATCAGGAATATATCTTGAATTTAATCGAATACTATTTTGGCATGTATTCATCTACTTGGTCTTTGAACTACCAAAGAGGTAATTCATTTGTATACTTGTTGCCTTTTTATAAACAGATTTTAAAAAGTCATCTCTTACTATTATAAAATATAAAACACCCATACAAACAGCAGTAAAAGGCAATTATCACATCCTTACTTTTTTAAAAAATTTAGTTTAATTTTTAAAAATTTTGACTGCGTTGGGTCTTCATTGCTGTGCGCGGGCTTTCTCTAGTTGCGGTGAGCAGGGGCTACTCTTTGTTGTGGTGCGCGGGCTTCTCATTGCAGTGGCTTCTCTTGTTGCAGAGCATGGGCTCTAGGTGCACAGCCTTCAGTAGTTGTGGTACGCAGGCTCTGTAGTTGTAGCTCGCAGGCTCTAGAGTGCAGGCTCAGTAGTTGTGGCGCATGGGCTTAGTTGCTCTGTGGCATGTGAGATCTTCCTGAACCAGGGATGGAACCCATGTCCCCTGCACTGGCAGGTGGATTCTTAACCACCGTGCCACCAGGGAAGTCCACATCCTTACTTTTTATATTTAGAAAAAGATTTAAGAGCATTTTATACTTTGGTGTTTAAAAATTCAAGTGTCTATGTTTCAAACATAACATTTTCACCACGCTAGTGTTACAAAATATTTTAATTAAAATGAATATCCTCAAATGCCTGTTACATGCAAGAAAGCACTACAGTAAGCAGCACTGCAACGGATAAAAAGATAAGCAAAGTTAGGTCCCTGGCCTCCTGGAGGCTTATAGACATGTTGTGTGTCGGGGGGGACAACTAGACAAGAGCCCAACTGAGTGAAGGTAACAAGTACCAGAAGAGCACAGAGGAGTGAACAGTCGCTGCTGGTGGGAAGGAAGTTCAAGGAGCGCTTCCTGAAAGGCAGCAGGGCCTGTTCTTTGCAGGACAGGCAGCTACTACTGTCTGGCAGGGTAGGTGGAAAGGTGATCCAGACAGGCCGCATCAGTGGGGAAGATAAAGGCACTGGGTGGATGAAGCTGTGCACCTGAGTCCCCAATGACAAAGCATAAACTATTCTAAGATATTCTACTGGATTTTAAAGTAACAATCAAAAGGTGGGATCAATGTGTCAGTAGGATATAAAATATGTGTTAGAAATATGGCAATATAAAGAAAAATTCTGAGTTAATCAGAAAAGTTCCAGATAAAGATCTTAAAGAAATAAGGATTGTTTACCAAGATGTTACATCAAAGGTTCCTTTGAAAAATATTTAGATAGTGAATATTTACATTTGGGGATAATTAATTTTAGGAGATGATGCCACCAAGCAGCATATTAAAAACTAGTGGCTGCCTATTCTACAGGTGCACCATTGCACTGATATGTTAAAGGGTCAGTAGCTTGTCACGTGCTGCTCCAAAAGGAGCCGCCCTTGGTGAAAGCATGCTGCCCAGGTCTCCAGGACGAACTTCTTGCTATGTTTTCATGTCAGCATGCCTAAAATGTGATGAGACACAGAGCTGACACTCATCTTCTGAGTTTATGCTAATACATTATCCCATTAGTGGCTTTTACCTTTTACCTTGCTCATTCCTGGAACCAGATGCACCCCTGGTTGAAGAGGATACAACTGCATACCAGATTTAGGAAGGGATGTATTAAGGGAAAGAACTGTTTTAAAAGGCTCTCCAGATTCTTGGCTTGGACAGCCTTCTTCCTGGGTGCTGACCCCTCTTGGCTATGGGGCACACAAACCACCTCTACCAATCTAACTAGTTTGCAGTTTTCCTGATTCTCTATTTACCAAAAAAAGGTCTCTTAAACCAGTCTTAGTGAACAGAAAGCTTAGTCAAGTGTTCACAGAGAGCACAAATGTGGACCATTCAACAGGCTGTGAGCCATAGCTGCTGAAATTGCAGCTAGGAACTGCCTTGGTTCCCTTCTTAAAGGCTGACAGGCCATCTGAGCCAGGCTACTTGATCTCTTGCTGCATTTCACTTGTAAAATGCTATTAAAATCTGCCATCAATTCCTCTCAAAGTAGTATATAAAATTTCCTGGATAGGAATACTCCTTATAATCATTTGGCTACAGCAGTGTATGAGTTCACTTCAAAAACTACTGTAATTTTGAACTTGCTGGTTTACTCACTCACACACACACACCCAAGCCTGATAGTTGTGTTAATTCAATGACTTCTTTAAAAATTTGGATAGTATTTGTATTTGGAAATGCATGTTAATCTTTATATGGATTTACCAGTCCTTGACCAACACGTTTTGTAAAAATCCTGCAAACCCATTTCATCGAATTAATTAGTACGGAGGATTTTCTGGAAATGGTTTGTTTTTTAAAATAAGGAGCTTATCTGTAAGCGTGGTCCAGAGTTTGCCATATGACAAGCATTTCTTAATAGCAAGGTCCATTTTAGTGTTAATCTTCATAGGCAGTCCATTTCATCAGGAAAGGCTTTAGTGTCTTCATAGTCTTAGGATCTGTTTTTCAGTTCACCAAATAGGGTGGGAATTTTATCAGAATGAAGTTATTAGAACTTTGGGATTTTCTTCTTTCTCCACTGAATCTTTTGTTTTTTTCCCATATCTGAACCTGAAAATAAGATAAGTGCTAAAGAAAATTAAATATTTAAGACTCGCCTCCTCAAAATGCCAAACTGACACTGAAAAACATTTCTCCAGTCAATGAACAGGTAATTATTTTAACTCTAATAAGAACCTCATGAGTCTAGAGCTAGTATTCTATGATTTTATAGTTTTCCTGAGGAAAGAATAGAGTGGTAAGCATGAAGTTCTTGGTAAGTTAAAGTTGATATTGAAGTAGTTTTATCATTAGAAGAAACAACTTATAAAAAATGGGCATCTTTCACTATACATGTTCAGTTTGGGATCAGAATCCACTCACATATAGACTTTTATCATGGCTACACACTAAAAACACTTTATCTTATATAACATCACAAAAGCCATATGAACTATTTCCATATAACAGATGGGAATACTAAGGTTTAGTGAAAGGTAAGCAAATTTCCCAAGTTTATTCAGTAGATTTGGGATTTGAGGCCATTCAGTTTCACTCTAGAATCTAAACTTCTCCTACCATACCATTAGTCTTTTAAATGTTTTCCAATCTATGATGTCATAGAAAGATGTTTGATTTTTGTCCCTGGTTCCTGACATAGAGCTTCTAAATCCCTTGTAATTTTCTGAGTGACAAGGGTAATAGTGTCTTGCCTCTTATTCTAATGAGGTGACTCAGTGGGTCCCTAGATAGCTTCACGATGGAGGCTGGTTGCTAGAAAGACCAAGCCTTGACTAGAAGCCCATCCTCCAGCCTCCAGGGAGGGGAGAGGGACTGAGGTCAAATCAATATTGATCATGCCTATGTGATGAAACTTCCATAAAATCCCCTAAACACTGGGGTTCAGAGAGCTTCTGAATTGGCCAACACATCCATGGGCCAGGATGGCGATGCTCCCCAACTCCACAGGAACGGAGACTCCTGTGCTCTGGACCCTTCTGGACCTCACCCTGTGTACATCTCCCCCTGGCTGTTCATTTGTGTTGTTTAGAACAAACCAGTAATAGTAAGTAAAATGTTTTCCTGAGTTCTGTGAGTCATTCCAGCAAATTCCTGAATGTGAAGAGGAGGGTTGTGGAAATACCAGACTTTGTAGCCAAGCTGGACATGATGGAGCTCAGGGCAGGCTGCCCCAAAATTTGCCACAATGGCATATTGATTATTTTGAATTGAAGTTGCTTGTGAAGCAGCTGATGCAAAAGGAAACTCTGGCCTCCTCTGTGCCCCTGAAAGCAGGGAATAAATCCCTCACGTGAAAGGTGCAATCCCTGCACATGGAGGTAGAAGGACACCCTTATTACCAAAGACAGGGAATTCCAGGGCTGGGCCAAGAAATCTCTATAAACAAACCTTGTTACTTCTTTACTAATTTACTACACAAGCCCAAACTCTGCTTAAATTCCTTACTAATTAAGCACTCAAACCTAAGTTTCTTTGTCCTGTCAATTCCTCTCAAATTTATTGTTTCTTTGTCTAAAAAGTGTAAAAGCTTCCTGCTTTGGCCATTTCTTAGGTCCTATTTCTGAGAGATCTCTGTGTAATGAATTAAAATTTGTTTATTTTTCTCCTGTTGACTGGTGTCAATTTTATGGTTAGTTTAGCCACAAGACCTTAAAGGGGTAAAAGGGTAAATTTCCCCCTCCCCAATAGCCAGAAATGTGGATAACCTTGGGGAACCATTGCTTGTGGCTGGCATCTGAAGAGAAGGCTGTCTTGTGGGAGTGAGCCTTTAACCTGTAGAGTCTGATGCTAGCCCTGAGTAATTAGAGTCAAAATTGGATGAAATTATAGGACACCTATTTGGTGTCAGAATTGGTTGATATCAGAAGGAAAACCCTTGCACAATCTCATAGGCCAAAAAATGACATTGACATTTTTTATGCTTTAATTAATATGGACAAGTATTTCTTTTTTATGTATATATTTGCCACTGAAATTTCCTTTTCTATAAACTGTTTGTTCATGACCTTTGCCAGTTTTCTTTCTGAGTTGTTTGTCTTTTTCCCACTGATCTCTAAGAGCTTCTTGCATCTTAAATTTATTAACTCTATGTCTACATTGTGTGTTGCAAATATTTTTCCCCTGGTTTGTTGACCTTTGTTCTAATTTATGGTTTCGTTTTTGCTGTACCAACAATTTCTAAAATTACATAATCAGATATATCAATCTTCTCCTTTATGGCTCTTTGCTTTTCATAATATGCTCAGAAAGGCCTTCTCTAAGGTTATAAAAATATTTATGTTTTCTTCTGCTACATTTATCACTTTATATTTTCAGTTCTCAATTTTTAATCTTTCTGGAATTTATCCTGATGTGTTTTTTGTGTGTGTGTGTGGTATGCGTGCCTCTCACTGTCGTGGCCTCTCCCGCTGCGGAGCACAGGCTCTGGACGCGCAGGCTCAGCAGCCATGGCTCACGGGCCCAGCCGCTCCACGGCATGTGGGATCTTCCTGGACCAGGGCACGAACCCGCGTCCCCTGCATCAGCAGGCGGACTCTCAACCACTGCGCCACCAGGGAAGCCCTATCCTGATGTATTTTGAAGTAAGAGTTAAGCTTTTTATTTAGCCAAAATGGCTAGTTGAATGTTCTAACACCTTTTACTGAATAATCTAAATTTTCCCCACTGATTTTGAATTGCTACTTGTTATCACACACTGAATTCTCATATTTTCTTCATTTAATTCTGAACTCTATTCCATTCCAGTGATTTCTTTTCTTCTACCACCATCATACTGTTTTAATTACCATTGCTTAATAATATCCTTTATTATCTGATAGAGCTACTTTCCACTTATTACACTTTCTTTTCAGAATTTTCCTATTTATTCTTTCATGTTTATTCTTTCTGAGGAATTCTGATATCATTTCTTAAAGTTCCACTTACCCTTTCATTTTCTGCATCTGCTCTAAGGTCTCTGGTAGAGTCATTCCAAAACTTTCAGGGAAGAGAAGAGTGATGATTCCAATCAGGACAGTCAGGCTTCCCATGAGGATGTAGGGCAGAACTCTGTTGTAAGCACCTGTAAGGCACAGGACATAAGAACATCAATTAGATACAGGGTTTCTCCAGATGCTCTTGAGAATCATTTTGTAAAGGTGGCAAACAGTATTTGAGAGCAGTTTTAAACCTGAATATTTACAGAGAAAAAAAGTGTGCAAAATACCACAGTTTCTGTTTGGCAGATGTCATTGCCTCCGAATTTCCATAATCATTTACCTACTCAATTTTGCATTATCATAAGGTCTTTCAGGTCAACTGCATTCTCTAAGCTACTACTTAATCATGTGTGGTAAATGTTCCTTTGATAGAAATTTTTGCCTACCAAAGTTCTCCTCTTAAGGTAGAGGTCATTGGAGATGGGGGGTGGGAGGACACCAATGGGAAAGAGGTTGACCAGGATGTTGCAGGGACACCTACTGGCTGTTATGACTGATATGACCTTTGCTTTTGCCCAAACCAGTAGGCTCCTGTGGAAATCTTGGTCCACAGAGCTGTGAGACTCTTAAAAGAACCTAATTAATATATTCAATCCAATTTAAATCAATAAATGTCAGGCACTGTGGTTTCTTTTTGCAGCATTTATATGTCTCGGTTTTACATGTAATTGGAAGAACCACTCCACCTCTTCTTTATGTGGTGTTACTCAGACAGGGGAATAATAGATCCTCATCTTGCTTCCCTTCTGTATACAGAGATTACAGAGGAATAACACACCCAAGAATTTTATTTGACAAAAAAATATCAATCTTGAAGCTTCTCTGAGGCCTCTGTGTCACCAACAGGAGCCACTACTGTGGAATACAAAGTGCTTTCTCAGACTTCTCCATTTCTTATGTACCAATGGTCCACCATTAGACCACATTAGCATGGTTTGAAAGTATAGGGAAGAACAAAGGGGAAACGACACCGTTCTATATAATAATGTACTTTCTCAGGTGTTCAGGGCAGCTGTGTGGAAAATGTCTCTCTTTCTCTGTAAGGATTTAGAGTATACCTTTTCTGAGAATTCACATATGTCTTTGGGGATGTGTATGTGTGTGTGTTTGAACTAGTAGGTAACCAATGGATGACTAGGAAGAATAAGGAGCTGTGTCTACATCTCTCACCAGTAGAGTTCTTGATGAAGTTTAGCTTGGAGTGCCAGATCCTAGATCCACTGAACATCCCACTAAAGCCCCTCTGTGGTGTTATTCCAGATTGATAAATTCGATCATATAAAAGCTAAAATTGCCAGCAATGCAAATAAAGTCATGAAGTCAAAGTGGAAATAATAAACTAGGAAAAATATTTATAATATATATACAAAGGGCTAATTTTTCAATTACAAAGAGCTCCCAAAATCAAATATCTAAACTTGATACAAACCATTAGAAAGATGGGAAAAGACATGAACAGTCAGATCTCTTAAAAATAAATAGAATTTCAATAAATATATGAAAAAATGCTCAACCTCATTCATAATTGAAGAAAAGGAAATGAAAGCAACAATGATACCCGTTTTTCATATAACAGACTATCAATGATTAAAAAATTGGATAATCCCCATTGTTGGTAAGGATATGGAGAAACAGGCACTCTCATATATTGATAGTTGGATTGTAAACTGGTATAGTATTTAGAGGTCAATTTGGCGATATCTATGAAATTTTTAAATTGCTCCAGCAATCTATTGATCCAAATATACAAAGGCTGTGGGGGCCGTAGAGGAATGTTCACTGCAGTGTTATGTATGGTAACAAAAACTTTGAAATGGCCTAAATGTTCATCCATGAACCTGGTTAAATAAATAATGTGTATACATACATTGGAAGTCTATGTACTAACTAAAAGAGCTATATATACGGATATGGCAAAATATTCTGATACAATGTTAAGTTTAAAAAAAGCTGTGAAACAATATTTATGATATCATTTTGTGTGTTTAAATATATATATATATATATATATATATATATATATATATATATATGTTGTGCAAAATGAAATGTCTGAAGGGCTACTCACCAAACTGTTAATAGTAGTTCCTCTGAGGGCTGTGATTTGGGGAACTAAGAGAGTAGAGGTGAACTTGTACTTTTTCCAGTACTTTTCCAGTACTTTCTATGCTGTTTGCATTTTTCATAATGAAAACCTATTACTTTTATATTTAAAAAAAGAATAGACTTATAAGAAGTATCTCACCAAGGTAAACAAAGTAGGGAGCAATGATGCTGCCCACTCTGGAGGCCATGGATGTGACCCCCACAGCCATGTTCCTGACCAGGGTTGGGTAGAGCTCTGCAGTGAAGACGTACAGCATGGAGAAGGCAGAGGTGATCCCGAATTTTCCTAACATGGCCAGACCAATGGACAAGAAGTTGTAATCTGGAAAAGAGACCCAGTGTAAACAGAGGTGCTTTTAGAAGTGATACTTTCTTAACAGTTGCTTGTATTGTCCTTTTTGCTTGTATAGAAATGTTTTATAATCTAAAGATATTCCCCAAATTATACAGTCTCTTCAAAGCCTTACTAATTGGACATGGACAAAGATGGAGCGTGAAGGGTTGCTTTGAGCTTCGCTCTTCTGTTATTCTAGATCATTTATGCATTCTGTGACCTTGTCCACCTTTATTTATTACAACAGTTTCATAGTCAGTTGTTAGCATGTTAATACAGTTAAGTTTAATCTTCGAAGAGAAGGACCAATCATTTTTATCCTGTTTATTATTATTAAGAAATATATATTTCTATGCATAGTACTATATATCAAAAATCTGTTGACTTAACATTTTAACAATATGAGAAAGTTAGACATAAGGGGAAAAGAGAAGCATATATCTTTTCATGTGCTCTCTAACTACTTAAAGATTACAGACCATAAAAATCACTGAATTTATACTGGAACTGGCATGTACTACCAACTCTAACACTTGAATATACACATCAGAGAGAAGGTTTGAAAATACCAAGAAAGTACCAATAAATTGGGAATTGGGATTATGACTCAGAAAGAGGTTTGAGGGTTTAGGTGAATGTTTCTGTGAAGGGGATGACTGGGAGCATTATTCTTCCTTCTCAGGTGGTGATTTCTGATTCTCTAAGGTTAACTCTTAACGATTTGAAGGGAGTAATTTTGAACATGGGAAATCACAGAGTTAGTTATCACTTGTATAACTGACTTAAGAATGACTTATGATGTAAAGGCTACATAAATAGGGAACAGGGACTAATAATTAGCCCTGTCAAGGTGTGGATCTTTTCTGGTAAGCTGTTAATATTGGATAACTTCTTACCTGCAGGCACCAGTTGAATTAAAAGAAGCACACCTCCTCCCAAGAACAGTACTCCAGATATGATATAACGCCTGGGTAGGGTTCGAAGTAGCAGCCAGGCTGTAATGTAAGCTGGAACTTCAATCAAGGCAGAGAAGAAACAGTTCAGGTAGGCATCTCCATGTAAATTAGGAGTGTTGAGAGACAGAGCAAAGTAACCTACTGAGGTGAGCATCCTGAAAGACAAAAGACAAAAATGACAAAAGGATGGCTTGAGTCTCTTTACAATTTCATGATGGTCAGGAAATTGTCTAGATGTTGCTGTCTTACAAATAGCCACATATGGCTATTTAAAAGTAAATAAATCAGGGATTTCCCTGGTGGCCCAGTGGTTAAGACCCTGTGCTCTCAATGCAGGGGGCCAGGGTTCAATCCCTGGTCAGGGAACTAGATCCCGAATGCTGCAACTAAGAGCCCTCATGCCGCAACTAAGAGCCCACATGCTGCAACTAAAGATCCCGCACACAGCAACAAAGATCCCGCGTGCTGCAACTAAGACCCAGCGTGGCCAAAAAAAAAAAAAAAAGAAAGAAAAAGTAAATAAATTAAAATTAAATAAAATTTAAAATTTCGTCCCTCACTTTGGCACTAGCCACACTTCAATTGTTTAGTGGTCACATGCAGTTAGTGGCTACCATAAGGGACAAAAAAGATATAAAACATTTTCATCATTGCAGAAAGTTCTATTGGACAGCACTAGTCTAGATATACCAATATTCAAGAATACCTATCCTAATCTAGTTAATTTCAAGTTTCAATAGGAGAGTTTGTATATTCTCATTCCTTCAGAGCTATTATTTGAAGAAAGAATGTCAGTCACATCAGTGAACATAAAATCCATATGTCATTTTCCCCCCCAAAGAATAAGAAGGAGAAGGAGAGGAAGGCAAAGGGGAGGGGGAGGAGGAGGAGGAGAAGAAGAAATATAGGTAATACTGTGGGATCCACTTATAGTAAATTCCAATTGATTTAGTAAAACTCACTTCAGTAGGGAAGAAAGTGAAAGTCCCATAAAAGGTATCACAGAGTGCACACTGCATATCCTGTCATTATAGTTAACGTCCACATAAAAGTTTCTCTGTGGAAAAAACACTACACTATGCAAACTCCCCTGTGCAGAAATGCACTTATTATCAACATGACTGAAAAGCAGAGGACACCTGAAAAATGTTTTCAGGAACAATGTCAGATCTTTTTACACATACTCTACTAGGTTGGGTAGCACAAGGGCTAATCCAAAACAAAACAAAAAATGAAACTTTATTGCTCTGGGATCTTAGTGATTTTCCACATTTGGTAATAAGAGCAGGTTAGATAAAACTAGTGATTAGTTTATTATTGGCTCAGTAGTGCCACTGCTCAAGGTACATTTGCATCAGTGATACCTGCTGACATGTAAGAACTAAGGAGATCTACTGTGAGGAAAGCCACATGCCCAGGACACACTTGCTTAATTCAGGGGCATAAACTCTGTCATTGATGACTTCTAATTGCAATACAAGATGGCTCTAAAATTAGACTAGCTGCAGCAGGAGCCTACTAGTTCTTTTTTTTTTTTTTAATGTTATGTAATCTTTTTTTTTTTTTTTAAATAGATCTTTACTGGAGTATAACTGCTTCACAATACTGTGTTAGTTTCTGTTGTACAACAAAGTGAATCAGCCATATGCATACGTATATCCCCATATCCCCTCCCTCTTGAGCCTCCCTCCCACCCTCCCTGTCCCACCCCTCTAGGTCATCGCAAAGCATGGAGCTGATCTCCCTGTGCTATGCAGCTGCTTCCCACTAGCTACATATTTTACATTTGGTAGTGTATATATGTTGATGCTACTCTCACTTCTCCCCAGCTTCCCCCTCCCCACCCCATGTCCTTAAGTCCATTCTCCATGTCTACATCGTTATTCCTGCCCTGCCATTAGGTTCATCAGTACCATTTTTTTTTTTTTAGATTCCATATGTATGTGTTACCATACGGTATTCATTTTTCTCTTTCTGACTTACTTCACTCTGTACGACAGACTCTATGTCCATCCACCTCACTACAAATAACTCAATTTTGTTTCTTTTTATGGCTGAGTAATATTCCACTGTATATATGTGCCACATCTTCTTTATCCATTCATCCAATGGTGGACACTTAGGTTGGTTCCATGTCCTGGCTATTGTAAATAGTGCTGCAATGAACATTGTGGTGCATGTCTCTTTTTGAATTATGGTTTTCTCAGGGTATATGCCCAGTAGTGGGATTGCTGGGTCATGTGGTAGTTCTATTTTTAGATTTTTACGGACCCTCCATACTATTCTCCATAGTGGTTGTATCAATTTACATTCCCACCAACAGTGCAGGAGGGTTCCCTTTTCACCACACCCTTTCCAGCATTTATTGTTTCTAGATTTTTTGATGATGGCCATTCTGACTGGTGTGAGGTGATAACTCATTGCAGTTTTGATTTGCATTTCTCTAATAATTAGTGATGTTGAGCATCTTTTCACGTGCCTCTTGGCTATCTGTATGTCTTCTTTGGTGAAATGTCTATTTAGGTCTTCTGTCCATTTTTTAATTGGGTTGTTTGTTTTTTTGATATTGAGCTCCATAAGCTGTTTGTATATATTGGAGGTTAATCCTTTGTCTGTCATTTAATTTGCAAATATTTTCTCCCATTCTGAGGGTTGTCTTTTCATCTTGTTTACGGTTTCCTTTGCTGTGCAAAAGCTTTTAAGTTTCATTAGGTCCCATCTGTTTATTTTTGTTTTTCATTCCATTAATCTAGGAGGTGGGTCAAAAAAGATCTTGCTGTGGTTTATGTCAAAGAGTGTTTTTCCTATGTTTTCCACTAAGGGTTTTATAGTGTCTGGTCTTACATTTAGGTCTTTAATCCATTTGGAGTTTATTTTTGTGTATGGCGTTAGGTAGTGTTCTAATTTCATTCTTTTACTATAGTTGTCCAGTTTTCCCAGCACCACTTATTGAAGAGGCTCTCTTTTCTCCATTTTATGTTCTTGCTGCCTTTGTTGTAAATTAGGTGACCACACGTGCATGGGTTTATCTCTGGGCTTTCTATCCTGTACCATTGATCTATATTTCTGTTTTTGTGCCAGTACCATACTGCCTTGATTACTGTAGCTTTGTAGTATAGTTTGAAGTCAGGGAGCCTGATTCCTCCAGCTCTGTTTTTCTTTCTCAAGATTGCTTTGGCTTTTCAGGGTCTTTTGTGTTTCCATACGAATTGTAAAATTTTTGCTCTAATTCTGTGAAGAATGCCATTGGTAGTTTGATAGGAATTGCATTGAATCTGTAGATTGCTTTGGGTAGCATAGTCATTTTCATAATATTGATTCTTCCAACCCAAGAACATGGTATATTTCTCCATCTGTTTATGTCATCTTTGATTTCTTTCATCAGAGTTTTATAGTTTTCTAAGTACAAGTCTTTCGCCTCCTTAGGCAGGTTTATTCCTAGGTGTTTTATTCTTTTTGTTGTGATGGTAAATGGGATTGTTTCCTTAATTTCTCTTCCTGATTTTTCATTGTTAGTATATAGGAATGCCAGAGATTTCTGTGCATTAATTTTGCATCCTGCAACCTTACCAAATTCATTGATTAGCTCTAGTAGTTTTCTGGTGGCATCTTTAGGATTTTCTATGTATAGTATCATGTCATCTGCAAACAGTGACAGTTTTACTTTTTCTTTTCCAATTTGTATTCCTTTTATTTCTTTTTCTTCTCTGATTGCCACGGCTAGGACTTCCAAAACCACGTTGAATAAGAGTGGTGAGAGTGGACATCCTTGTCTTGTTCCTGATCTTAGTGGAAATGCTTTCAATTTTTCACCATGGAGTATGGTGTTTGCTGTGGGTTTGACATATGTGGCCTTTATTATGTTGAGGTAGGTTCCCTCTATGCCCATTTTCTGGAGAGTTTTTATCATAAATGGTGTTGAATTTTGTCAAAAGCTTTTTCTGCATCTGTTGAGATGATCATATGGTTTTTACTCCTTAATTTGTTGATATGGTGTATCACATTGATTGATTTGCATATATTGAAGAATCCTTGCATCCCTGGGATAAATCCCACTTGATCATGGTGTATGATCCCTTTAATATGTTGTTGGATTCTGTTGGCTAGTATTTTGTTCAGGATTTTTGCATCTATGTTCATCAGTGATATTGGTGTATAATTTTCTTTTTTTGTGATATATTTTTCTGGTTTTGGTATCAGGGTATGGTGGCTTCGTAGAATGAATTTGGGAGTGTTCCTCCCTCTGCAATTTTTTGGAAGAGTTTGAGAAGGATCGGTGTTAGCTCTTCTCTAAATGTTTAATACAATTCGCCTATGAAGCCATCTGGCCCTGGACTTTTGTTTGTTCAAAGACTTTTAATTATAGTTTCAATTTAATTACTTGTGATAGGTCTGTGTATATTTTCTAATTTTTCCTGGTTCAGTCTTGGAAAATTGTACCTTTCCAAGAATTTGTCCATTTCTTTGTGGTTGTCCATTTTATTGGCATATAGTTGTTTGTAGTAGTCTCTTATAATTCTTTGTACTTCTGCGGTGCCAGTTGTGATTTCTCCTTTTTCATTTCTAATTTTATTGATTTGTGTCCTCTCCCTTTTTTTCTTAATGAGGCTGGCTAGGGGTTTATCAATTTTGTTTATCTTCTCAAAGAACCAGCTTTTAGTTTTATTGATCTTTGCTATTGTTTTCTTCATTTCTATTTCATTTATTTCTGCTGTGATCTTTATGATTTCTTTCCTTCTACTGACTTTGCGTTTTCTTTGTTCTTCTTTCTCTAGTTGCTTTAGGTGTAGGGTTAGATTGTTTATGCCAATTATTAAATCTTATTATTATTATCTTATTAAATCTTATTAAATCTTATTAAATCTATCTTATTAAATCTTATTAAACAAGATTTTTCTTGTTTCTTGAGGTGAGATTGAATTGCTATAAACTTCCCTCTTAGAACTGCTTTTGCTGCGTCCCATAGGTTTTGGGTCGTTGTGTTTTCATTGTCATTTGTTTCTATGTATTTTTTAAAATTTCTTCTTTGATTTCTTCAGTGATCTCTTGGTCATTTAGTAGCGTACTGTTTAGCCTCCATGTATTTATGTTTTTTACAGTTTTTTTCCTGTAATTGATTTTCAATGTCATAGCATTGTGGTCAGAAAAGATGCTTGATACGATTTCAGTTTTCTTAAATTTTCCAAGGCTTGATTTGTGACCCAAGATGTGATCTACCCTGGAGAATGTTCCATGTGCTCTTGAGAAGAAAGTGTATTCTGCCACTTTTGGGTTGAATGTTCTATAAGTATCAATTAAATCTATCTGGTCTATTGTGTCATTTAAAGCTTGTGTTTCCTTATTTATTTTCTGTTTGGATGATCTGTCCATTGGTGTAAATGGGGTGTTAAAGTCCCCTACTATTATTGTGTTACTGTTGATTTCCCCTTTCATGGTTGTTAGCATTTGCCTTATGTATTGAGGTGCTCCTATGTTGGGTGCATAAACATTTATAATTTTTATATCTTCTTCTTGGATTGATCCATTGATCATTATGTAGTGTCCTTCCTTATCTCTTGTAACAGTATATTTTAAAGTCTATTTTATCTGATATGAGTATTGCTACTCCAGCTTTCTTTTGATTTCCATTTGCGTGGAATATCTTTTTCCATCCCTTCGCTTTCAGCCTTTATGTGTCCCTAGGTCTGAAGTGGGTCTCTTGTAGACAGCTTATATATGGGTCTTGTTTTTGTATCCATTCAGCCAGTCTGTGTCTTTTGGTTGGGGCATTTAATCCATTTACATTCAAGGTTATTATCGATATGTATGTTCCTATTACCATTTTCTTAATTGTTTTGAGTTTGTTTCTTTTTTTTTTTTTTTTGTGGTACGCGGGCCTCTCACTGTTGTGGCCTCTCCCATCGCGGAGCACAGGCTCCGGATGCGCAGGCTCAGCGGCCATGGTTCACGGGCCCAGCTGCTCTGCGGCATGTGGGATCTTCCCAGACCGGGGCATGAACCCGCATCCCCTGCATTGGCAGGCGGACTCTCAACCACTGTGCCACCGGGGAAGCCCCTGAGTTTGTTTTTGTGGGTCTTTTTCTTCGCTGTGCTTCCTGCCTAGAGAAGTTTCTTTAGCATTTGTTGTAAAGCTGGTTTGGTGGTGCTGAATTCTCTTAGCTTTTGCTTGTCTGAAAAGCTTTTGATTTCTCCATCGAATCTGAATGAGATCCTTGCCAGATAGAGTAATCTTGGTTGTAGGTTTTTCTCTTTCATCACATTAAGTATATCCTGCCACTCCCTTCTGACCTGCAGTTTCTGCTGAAAAATCAGCTGATAACCTCATGGGGATTCCTTTGTATGTTATTTTTTGTTTTTCCCATGCTGCTTTTAATATATTTTCTTTGAATTTAATTTTTGTTAGTTTGATTAATATGTGTCTTGGTGTGTTTCTCCTAGGGTTTATCCTGTATGGGACTCTCTGTACTTCCTGGACTCGGATGACTATTTCCTTTCCCATGTTAGGGAAGTTTTCCACTATAATCTCTTCAAATATTTTCTCAGATCCTTTCTTTTTCTCTTCTTCTTCTGGGACCCCTATAATTAGAATGTTGGTGCGTTTAGTGTTGTCCCAGAGGTCTCTGAGATTGTCTTCAATTCTTTTCATTCTTTTTTCTTTATTCTGCTTCTCAGCAGTTACTTCCACCATTTTGTCTTCCAGCTCACTTATTCGTTCTTCTGCCTCAGTTATTCTGCTATTGATTCCTTCTAGTGTATTTTTCATTTCAGTTATTGTGTTGCTCATCTGTTTGTTTGTTCTTTAGTTCTTCTAGATCTTTGTTAAACATTTCTTGTATTTTCTCAATCTGTGCCTCCATTCTATTTCCAAGATTCTGAATCATCTTTACTATCATTACTCTGAATTCTTTTTCAGGTAGATTGCCTATTTCCTCTTCATTTATTTGGTCTTGTAGGTTTTTACCTTGCTCCTTCGTCTGTGACATATTTTTTTGCTGTCTCATTTTTTTTCCTTTTTTTTATGACTGGGATTGTGTTCCTGTCTTACTGGTTGTTTGGCCTGAGGCTTCCAACACTGGAGTTTGTAGGCTGTTGGGTAGAGCTGGGTCTTGGTGCTGAGATGAGGACCTCCAGGAGACCTCACTGCAATAAATATACCCTGGGGTCTGAGGTTCTCTGTTTGTCCAGTGGTTCGGACTTGGAGCTCCCACCACAGGAGCTTTGGCCCGACCCCTGGGTCATGAACCAAGATCCCACAAGCTGCGTGGTGTGGCAAAAAAAAAACAAAAAACAACAATAACAAAGTAGAAAATAAAATTAGACTAGGAAACTGACAGATATGTTAGAAAAAATATAAAAATAAAAATATAGGTGAAACAACAACCGGAAGGTAAAACAGAGCCATGATATTAAAAAAGAGATGGAGAAAAAAAAAAAGGTGGAAAAGGCCTTGGCTGTGGAGGGCAGGGCCTAAGCAGGGTCAAGGTTTGGGCAGTGGGCAGGGCCTATGCTTAGGACCCACAGGGCTGGAAAAGGCCCTGGGGGGCACTGGGGGTGGGGCTTAGGCTCAACAGAGAAGAAGGGGCTCAGGCATGCCCATCGCCTCTGGTCTCAGAGGGTGGGGGAACCCACCTGGGAGCCCAGCAAGCTTCCTGGGCTCAAGTGGGTAGGGCAAATACCCTCTGCTCCTCTCTTGCTCCTCCCATCCTGGAGGGCCCCTCCCAGCTGCCTCTCCTGTTCTCGTCCAGCCTCCTTCCTACACCCCCAGGACCAACCCAGCCTGGGGGGGACCTCTGAGAGCATAGGACCTGGCTCGAGAGCTGGGCAGACTTCCCCAGCCGATTCGGCAGGGGAAACGCTGGGTGTGCTCCCCCTGATCCAAGCCCCCGAGGGTCCCTCCAGGCATGGGAACCTCTCCCCCACTCTGAGCCACCCCTCAGGGGTGCCAGTCCTGTCTGGCCTCCACTTCTCCTTCCCCCGCTCAGTCCTCCCATGTTCTACTGGTGCACTTGGGGGTTCTTCCCATCTCCTTGGGTGTTGGGGTCCCCCACCAGCATCTGGCAGACGCCCTAGTTGTGAGGATACGCGAACTCTGCATCTTTCCACACCACCATCTTCTACCTGTTCTGATTACCATCATTTTTTGTGCTGCCATCATGGGGTAGGCATGTTCTTTTTGTCTTCTTCCTAATTTCTTGGCAGATACATTATTAAATCTTGCCTACAAAGTCAGTTCGTTATTTCTAGGCCTTAAAATCACTTGGTAGATTCCTATGAGCAAGTATGAAAAGCTTGTCAAAACTCCAATGCAGGCAGTGGGGATTCAGGGTATTCTAACTTCACCGATTAATTTTCAGTATAGCTTCTGGGAGCAGGAGCTGAATTAGCATCTCAGCTTCAGGCATCAGGGACATCATTAGTTTTAATCCCAGTAGCTCTAGGAGGAGCAGGGAACGATTTCCCAGTGGGTCACAGTATTGCAGACCTAAATATTGTTCCCTGTGACATTTTTTTTCAGTATCCAGTTCCATGAATTAAATTGAAGCCTTTCCAAATAACTTAGAATTCTAAAATTTATAATTTTGCCTCAGGAAGACCCAGGCCTTGACCTTGTCCCCTGAATTAAAGAAAATCAATTGTATATTTACATTTTGCATGTCTCATTTCCAGATCTCTTATTACTTACCATAGCAGCAAGGACATAATTGTTATTGTGCCAATATTCCGAGTCCTAAACAGGTCCAGAATGAAAACTTTCTGCTGCTTCACGGGGGTTAGCTCCTGTTGTTAAAGTAATGCACACAACCATGAGATTGAGAGGTGGTGAGGAAGTATCTTTGGCTATGACAATATATTCTTATGCATGTATGTCTCACATCACATGCTCAGAAGTCTGGAATTTGCAGGGAATAAGGGCATCTAAATATATGACGATTATAACGTTTAAAAATGTTTGTGGCCCATTTTAGACAGAAGCCTTTAAAATATATAACACTGGCTTCACTGTCTCTTTACATAAAGCCTGACTGCTAACACAGCCTTGCCTTGACTCATGGGCATCATTGTGGGTGACCTTAATCACACTGAGCCTTAGGGCCTGTTGAGTGGGTAGCACCATATAGCCCCAAACTGCCTTGAGGTCCATATCTGCTTTTAATACTTGTCCTGTTGTTGTTTCAGTGTCAGAACACACATGGGTTAACTAGGGGACCTTGGGCAAGTTACTATTTATCCTCTATGAGCCTCAGTTTACCTCTCTGTAAAATGGGTATAATAATCAAGAGTTGAGAAGATTAAATGAGATCATATATATAAATCTTAGCATAGTACTTGAACCATGGTAGATGCCCCATACATTTTAACTATTACTATAATTACTGCACCATTGAGGAAAAGATGTGAGCTGTCAGTGGTTGGTGGCAATTTCATACCGCTGTTGATGGGCTTCCTTCCTTGACTTTTAATTTCCTGAAGTTAACTTGCCATGTGTTAGGAATCTAGATAATCAAGCTTATTAGAATTGAAACTATCAATACACTATTTACAATAGCCAAGACACGGAGACAACTCAAGTGCCCATTAACAGATGACTGGCTCAAGATGATATGGTATATATGTACAATAGAATACTAGTCGTAAGAAAGAATGAAATATTGTCATATGCAGCAACATGGATGGATCTAAAGAATATGACACTTAGTGAAATAAGTCAAACAGAGAAAGACAAATATTATATAACTTATATGTGGAATCAAAAAAATAATACAAATGAATCTACATACAAAACAGAAACAGACTCACAGACATAGAAAACAAACTTATGATTACCAACGGCAAAATGAAGGAGGGTGGGAGGGATAAATTAGGAGTTATGGGATTAACAGATACAAACTACTATACATGAAATAGGTAAGCAACAAGGATTTACTATATAGCATAGGGAACTACAGTCAATAACTTTTAATAACCTATAGTGGAAAATAATCTGAAAAAAATATGTATATATAACTGAATCACTTTCCTGTACACCTGAAACTAACACAATATTGTAAATCAACTATGCTTCAATTTAAAAAAAAGAATTGAAACTAAAAAGTTACAGGGCTCTGAGGTGGAGCCTTTTATCTCCTCAGGATAAAGTACAATGACTCTGTGGCCCTATTATGTGTGTTCAGTAAGAGGCTGAGGAAGGAATTTTTACTACAAAGGAAGGAAGAGTGCCAGACCTGCCCTTGTAGCAGGTGCTTCCCAAATATTAGCATCCTTCTTTCCGAAAACAGACACCTCCTCATTCAGCTCACAGCCATGTTACCTTTTTGCTTCTGCACTACGTGGAGTGTACAACTCTAGAACATGCCCCTGGCAGTATAACCCCGTTATCCCAACAAAGAAAGCCCCTGCATAAACTACTGGGAACTAGCAGTCCTCCTGGAAGGTTCTGGGAGTGGTACCAGGCACAGACAGGACCTGTGGATCAGGCATCCAGTTATATTGACCAAGGCTGGGAATGGAATTCTTGATCTGAAGAGCAAAGGATTAAGACATATTTGTTCTGGCAGCCCTCTGAGAGCTTGGGCTCATAGCCACTGTAATTAATCCTCCAGCCATCACCAGGGTATCTGTTTCTGTCAGAGGTCGCAAAGGCCAGGAATGGAGGAAGCCCTCAGGGTGGAGCACTGGCGTGCTCGCCACCCTCCAAAGTCCTGGGGTGGGGCAAGCATAAAGACTAAGAAGCATATAGTCTTCTTGAGGTGTCCTGAGCAGTTCCTGACCCTCTGGCCAGGAGTGCCATTGCCCCATCCTCTCCATCCATCTAAGTGTCCTCCCTTGTTTGGACCTGCCTCTTCAGCCCTGAGTCACTCTACTCTCTTTCTCTGCTGGCTCACAGTGTCCACTCCTTGGGGACTTCCTCCTTCATGTCATCACTTACCTTCCATCAAATCCTCTTAACACTCTTGGTTACATTCTGTGCTCCTTATGTCTCTAATTTTTCTTGTTTTCTCTAGGAGCTGGCACAAGGCATGGCCAAGGACACTGTGAATCCTCACTGACTGGCAGGAAGCAAATCTGCTTCCACTGAATATCTGCTTTTCCTCGTGGCCTCCCGCCTGCAGGGGTGAATCCTCCAGCCTGTGCTCTCAGGCCTTAAGGTTCTAGACACAACATAGCAAGACTAAAGACATGTACAGCTTCCCCAGCAGACTTTGGTAAGATTCAGAGTACAGTGGGGAGCCCATGGGTGGAATACCCCTCAAACACATTTTTCCCTCTTAATCTGGACATTCAAAAATCACCAGTATGTAGCTGCATCAATGGTGTGGAGCAAGACCAATAAAAAGTTGGAGATAACCTTGCAAAAGGGAAGGAAACTAATACTTAATCAACACTTGCTATATGCTAAGCAGTTTACATATATTATTGCACTTAATTGGTCCACAGCCCTTTGAGGAGGGCTCAGAACTTCATCATCATTGTGTCTCTAAGGCCTTGAACAGTGCCTGGTACATAATAGGCACTCAAAACCTATTGAATCAAATTAAATTCCATAATCAAGAATGCATAACTGGGGCTTCCCTGGTGGTACAGTGGTTAAGAATCGCCTGCCGATGCACGTGACATGGGTTCGAGCCCTAGTCCGGGAAGATCCCACATGCCATGGAGCAACTAAGCCTGTGCGCCACAACTACTGAGCCTGCGCTCTAGAGCCCACGAGCCACAACTACTGAGCCCATGTGCCACAACTACTGAAGCCCGCGTGCCTAGAGCCCATGCTCTGCAACAAGAGAAGCCACTGCAATGAGAAGCCCACGCACTGCAATGAAGAGCAGCCCCCACTCGCTGCAACTAGAGAAAGCCCGTGTGCAGCAACGAAGACCCAACGCAGCCAAAAACAAACAAATAAATAAATAAATTTTAAAAAATAAAGAAGACTTTGAAAGAAAAAGAATGCATAACTGATCTCAGGAGGAAACATGTGCAAATCCTTACCTCCACAGGATCAAAAACCACCACTGGGGCAGCTACATTGTTCATTTTTGCAGCTTTTTGGATGATATCTTCAGCTTCTCTAAATCTTCTCTGGGATATCAGCCACCGGGGAGATTCAGGAATAAACCTAAAATTCATTTGAATGTTTTATAATTTTTCACAGTAGCAAGGTTGATGCTATCAACTGTTAAGTTGCCCCCGAATAATTTTTATTTTGTAAAATTCTAGTTTGTCTTTTTAAAGAACATCAAGAGGGAGGCCTCATAAGATTTCCATTATTTGTAGGAATAAATAAAAGCACCTTCAAGTTTCAAAGTTATGATCAAATCAAAAGACAGATCATTAGTTGTACTTGAAGCCAGAGCCACACTATAAGGGGTAACATTAACTGGGGTTTAAGCCAGGGCACCTGGAGAACACCATCCACAACTTCATAGACGGTGTGGCTCATAAAAGAAACACAGTCTAGTATCTTTTCAGTGTGTCTATCCCTAGGAGAATCCCTGGTGCCCAGCTGGTGATGCTCACAAGTTTATTGGGTAAAAGAGGGCATCTGTGTTTCTCAGGCTTTTCCTGCAGTCAGAGGAGGAGGTTAAGTGCACTGACACCTTCCTGTGGGCTGCCGCATGGCTCTCAACAGATTCTCAGCTCAGTGAGTACCCAAACCAGACCACAGCCAATGTGGTCTTATTTTTTTAATGCCTAGAAACATTAAAAAAATTTTTTATATTGGAGTATAGTTGATTAACAATGTTGTGTTAGTTAGAAACATATTTTTTATTACACAATCTATCCACATTTTTAACTGATGCTCAAACATGGTTGACTTCTATTCTTTCCTAATTTTTCTATTTCTATTTATTTTTATTATACTTTAATTTTTCTATTTTTTCCTAATATTTATTTCTCAGAATTGCTTAGCCAATCTTCTGCCAGCTCTTGTTTTCCTTACTTATTTGTCAGTATTAAGTTATCCTAGAAAATAAATTATATGTAGCAGATATAGTCCTCCTATAATTAATAGGCCCCTCCAAAGCCTCAATAGGAATTATCTCAGAGCAAAACACAACATATCGAATAGCCAACCCCCAGCTTCTGTCCCTAGCCTACTACAAGCACATGGGTTGAAAAATGAACCCAGTCTGCATTTTTTGGAATATATCCCTTGGTTGGTCCCTGTAGCAACTGTGATGATGTTAGGCCACTCCGTTTCAGTAATTAGAGCTGTGCTGTCCAAGAGAACTTCCACTGGTGTTCTGTATCCGCGCTATCCAATACAGCAACCGCTAACCACATGTGGTTATTGAGCTGGTGTGACTAGTGTGACTGAAGAAACGAATTTTATATTTTATTTACTTTTAATTAATTTTAATTTAAATCAATGCATGTGGCTACCGGCAACTGTATTAGTGAAGAATTAGAGGTCTTACCCCACAGCCACTATATACAGCATGGGCACTTCTACTTCTGAGAGGTATCTTTCCCCAACCAGGTTGTTCTTAGAAATATCCTACCTTTCTTACTACAAGCTCAGAGTGCCATCGCTGGTCTCAGGTTCCTAATGTTTAGTCAGCTAGATGTTGCAAAGCTTTCCCCATGTTGCACCTATGGGCTCCTTCCCCACCCACTATACACATAGTCCATTTGTACCTGTGATCACTTACTGCCAAGCCTTTTAAAGGAAATTTGAGACATAAAAAATCCCCAAACCACCTGCAGTGGCTCCATTTTCAGCCCACTGTACTCAGGATTGCTGCGATCTCTACTTTTGAATTGCCATGGTTTCTTGGTGCATAAAGAATTAAGTCTAGCTGATCATTTCAAGTTAGTGGAGGGCCAAATAAGGTTGTACACTATAGCCTCTCGGTAGATTTAATTCAAATTGAACAGGGGAAGGGTGTTGCTGGAGAGTCCATAATACATATTAAGTAGGCAGCAGAGGTCACAGTAGCTCAAAGCAATCCCCACATCAACCCAGCCCACCCGGATAGATGGGCACTGCTTCAGGAAGTCCCACCTTCAAGGACAAGATGTTCAAAAGAAGCTATTTTATTTTTATAGGAAAATGGTAAAACTCTTGTTAAACTTTCAGGACAAGCACTTAGCATGTTTGTCCTGGCCCCGGGTTGCCCTCTCTCTGGGGCAGTCCTGTCCCTGGTACAATGTGCCCACAGCTAGGAACACTTACCAACCAGCCCATGGGCAATAGAGGAACAACTCTTCTCAGGGAAAGAGTAAGGCAGCTCCTTGTGGGATGGACCTTCTGTGCTAGAAACTCAAGAGGCTGACCTATCAGAGCTGTTCCTTGCTGTGATATTTGGTTCTGAGGCAAAGATCCAAGCCCCACAAACTAAAATCCCTACTAATCCCTTATGGTCAGTCAGGGCCCTTCTATTTTTGCTCTTTCTCTCTCTCTCTCTGGTAGAATCATACAGTAATAAAGTTGGCTATAACATATTTTAAAAGTACTGGTCTCTTATGCCAAAGTGACAACTAGAGCCAAAGAACACAGATTACTAAAATCATTCATTGGAAGAGGCAGAAACTAACCTTTGAATAATCTTGTCTTGCGTCTTGAGAGACTCAAGACAAGACATCTTTTAAAATAAACTCAGTGAGCAGGGGGGTTGTGGAGAGAGGGACAGAGGGTATGATGATGATAATGATGCTGCTGCTGCTGGGCTGATTCTCATTCCAGAAACTTGCCCTGCTCTCAGACTGGGTCAGGAAATCAGAAGAGTATCTAACCTCTAACACACTGTCTCTCGAATTCTAGGGAAGTAAGAAAAAAAAGTGTTCTCTCTCCCCCATACACACCCATGCCAAGAATCTGCACTGGTAAATCATAGCAGTCTTAGAGGTCATAAAAGGACAGTAGTTTGGAGTGGTCTAACAAGAGCCATCTGGTCCAACGAGGTCAAGATGTACTACCTGTCAGCCTCTACAGCTGCCTAACAGTTGCAGCAAGATGAAGGCCCTTCTAGGAAACTTCCTCAGGCAGTGTGTCCACAGGACAGGGCAACCACGAGGGCTAGTCTAACCTCTGAGCTCTAAAAAATGATCAGAGAAACTTTCATTGTGTGTGAGCCAGTAGAGATAAAGCAGTTCAGTAAAACCAGTCACTGCTGGGAGATTTGATTTTAACATCATGAAACCAAACCAGAACTAATTAATGACAGAGAGAGAGAGAGAGAGAGAGAGAGAGAGAGAGAGAGCACCAGACCCCATAATGGGAAAAATCCCCTTTCCTTTTGCTTAAATATGGAAAAATCAAAGAAATGGGGAATCCCTCCCCAAAAAGGGTATGGCTGCGACCTTATTCCATCATTCTTAATTTGTTCTCTCACCTAAAATCTTCCCCATAGCCATACTGGGTGAAACTGGGGCCAGTGTCTCAACACTTTGTTATTCCCACACTGACGTGCCAAAATTTGGTTGAAGGGTAGTGGGAGGAGAGAAGAGAACATTTTCTCTAACAATTCATTAAACAGAAGGAGTTCTCTCGCCCTTCAAGACAAAGCAGATAAACAGTGACATCTCAGACGCTAATCATCACGCGACAGGGAAGTTTGAGGAAGTTACATTAGTTGTAGCCCTGAGGAGAACAAGATTTCCTAGCGAGAGAAAAGTGTCAGAAGAGCAGGGGGGCAGAGTTAAAAATAACAAAAGCCAACAGACCATCTCCACAAACAATCACCACCAGTAACAGATAAGCGGGGGGAGAGCCTCAGGGGGACTGGGTTTCCTGAGAATGGTGCTTTGTGGGATGGTGGGGAATCAAACCCCAGCACATAGGCCCACCCCAAAGAGCCAAACGGTCTCTGGGCTTCGAGGCCCCAGCCTGTTCCAGTGAGATCAGCAAGCCCACGCCACGGTCAGCCCCAGGCTCTGGGCTCCAGGCTGCTGGCTCGCAGCAGGGGGCTGTCTGGGACGGAGCCACACTCACCACCACAGCGGGAAGCACAGCACCCCCGGCACCGTCAGCGCCAGCAGAAGCATCCGCCAGTCTCTGATGAAGTAAGCAAACAGCGGCAGCAGCATGTAGCCAACTGCAAAAAATGTGCACACGCCTAACGTAGAGAATATAATACGAACTGACTTGCCAAGAATTTCTGTTCCTGTTCAAAACAAGGGAGGAGTATTAGCATTTTAACTCACTTTAATATTTGCTTTTTACATCATTACCTGGCAGTTAGAGTTTAAAACATAACCACTTAGAAAAGGGAAAAGGTGTTTGCCTCATGGCCCAGAGCAGGAGCGGTCAGGGTGGAGGAAGGTGGGACGTGACCCAAGACTTACCACCTCATAGAAGGATGAGTTTTCATGAGATTTTAAAGGAGCCACAGGTTTTTTTTTTTTTAAAGGCTTCCTCATGTCATAGGAACATCACTCCCAGCCCTAAGAGGTAACCTCTTCTGAGGATGCCACATTTCCAAAGTTAAGAGCCCCGGAGTAAGGAGCAGAAAGGGTGTCCCAGGAGACCGGGGCGGGGGGGTGGGGGGGCTCTTCTGAGGGCGAGTGGATTATGGGGCATTCAGCCTTTCCCACAATTCTCCACTGTAAATAAGCAGACACGGGTCTCTCGGAAACAGTGGAGAGTTCAGTTACTGAGTTGTGTTAGGACACCCTTAGCCACCCTTGAGCCCTGAGAAATGATAAAGAAGATCCAGCTGGCTCTGGAGGTGCACAGAGCAGGGCCCCAGCACCCAGAACTGAATTCTGCTGCAGCTACACTGTGCCCAGGGCTCAGCCCCAGGCAGTCACAGTCCATACAGCCCAATGAAAGACAAGAAGAAGCTGCTCTTCCCGCCTGGCAGGCGGCAGCCCTGGAGCTGTCCACACACAGAAGGAGCTCACAGAGCTTTCCCAGAACACCACAAAGGTCCAAGACTACTTGGCATCCGGCCCTGTTCTGGGAAAGGCTCCTGCTCTGCTCAGCACCACACTGGATCGCTCAGCCCCACTTCTTCCAGAGATGTTGCCTGCTCCTTGGAGTGCTTGATTTGAGACAGGGAGTCCAAGAACAAGCTCCTTCTATTGTCACAAAACTCCAGGCCCTTTACCCAGAGTTCACTCTTGGTCTTCTGCCCCAGGGCGGAGATCTGGCCAATGGCAACAGCTCCGTCTTTTGTTTGAGATCTGCCCACCACTGCCGAGAAGCAGCCCAGAAATTACAAAATAGATCATTCGAAGGTCATTCAGGCTTAGCTTTCAAGAGAGAGTTTTTCAATCGTGTTTAGATGCCCTGAACCCAGGCTAAGGAATTAAGGGCTAATTCCAGAGAAGCAGTAAAATTACTACTTCTGTTGGTTTTCCTTTCTCACCTCCTACCTGTTCCTGTCCTCACCTCTCTTCTTCTTCTTCACTCAGCATAACTGAAGATGTACCTCAGTGGTTCCCTCTTGAACAGCCATTTCTAAAAGCCAGACTGATAGAAATGGCCAGGATTGTGTACCCCTCACAACCTGGACTGCAGACAACAGCCCTAACCACCCAGGGCATTTCTCAGCCTCTAAGCTCATTTTCAGGAATAGGGCCAGACTTCTTTCAGGATCGTGACTGTTGTTTCCAGATATTTTCTTACCTCATTAATGACCTTCCTACCACTCCATAAGAAGACTCACCATGCCATGGTTTCTAAACACTTCGGCTGTGATTATTATGACATGAGAATGAATAGGGGGTGATTTATTCTTAAGCAGAGATCCAGAGGTGAAGCAGCAGAGGATGTGACTGTGGAAAAGAGAAAGTGCCCAGGACCAAGTGAGAATCTTGTAGACTCATGAGACCAAGGGAGCTCCCTCACACTTCCATGACCCTGATGAGAGAAGAGAGAGAAGTTACACCACTGGATTCTTGGATAATCTCCCCCTCTAAGCTTGGATCTCAGGCCAGAACAGAGTTGTTCTAACTTTGCAGAGTACCCATGGGGGACAGAAGCTTCACAAATCTACCCCTCTGCCTTTCTGTGGAGCAACACAGGTGGCACAAACCTGAATAGTTCCTTGTTAGCACGACTTCCTGCTCACTGACCTTCCAGACAATCGCCCTGCCTTGAACACCGTCATCATCATCTTTGTAGCTAGCAGTGCTTTGAGGAGGCACTTCGAGCCAGGTTCCAGACTGAGCGTTTACATATATTATCTCTTTGAGTCTTCACAACAATTATATAAGAACTAATACTACTTCTATTTTATACATTATCAGCTGAGACTTAAAGAGTTGAAGCAAATTGCCTAAATTCACACATATGTACTCAGTGGGACAGCCAGGTTTTAAGCCTGATCAGTTTGACCTGTGGATACTGCCCAGGAAAAAAAATTACCTGGGAACAAAGCCTTGGCCCTGTCAAGCAGTCCTTCAACTGAGGTCCTAGTGGAGACGTGTGGGAGATGGGTGAGGCCACACCTGCCTTTTAGAAGTTAGGATTTGTGTTTTCCCCACCTGGGCTGGTTTTTGAACTCACTAGAGGCCAACCAGCCCCCTCTGAGGGACACTGGGAGAGGAGTCCTGTTTCCTGCAGACGTTTCACGGCCTGCAGGTGCCAGAAACTCCATGGCAGTGAGATAGGTGACTGGTGACTTCTGGCTCCGCTGACTGGGGATCCTTGTCCTGGCCTCCTTTACCCCCTAGGTTTTTACTCCTAGGACAAAGCCCACTTGGTCTTGGTCTGGTTGGGCCTCTGAGTACCACTTGGGAGTGAGACTCTGACATCTAAGCCAAAGAGGCATGTCTTGGCCAGGAGTGTTTGCCCACTGCCCGTCACCGCCACCAGAATCTGAGCACTTTCTCCAAGAGGGAGTGACTCAGAGAGTGCCAGGCTTACTACCATGTTGATCAGGGCCCTTCTGTGGCAGTCAGCCCAGGAACCACTGGATCCATTTCACTTGGAGGCAGGACCTGCCACTCCATGAATGATAAACAGAGGTCTGCAGACCCCAGCTCAAGAAACAAGACTGTGGTGCAGTTGCCAGGATATGGGGTAGGACCCAAGGGCCCTAGGATAGGAGTGGCCTCCATTAGTCATGTGCAGAGCCTGGGCTCCTTGATGCTCATTTGCTACTAGAGTGACTTTGACAAGTCCTACTTCATGGAGCTATTGTTATGAGGCCTGAGATAATGTAGATAAAGGGCCTAGTCAAGTGTCTGGCATGTGGTAGGTACTCAGGAATAATTAATTCTTTCATCCTGCTCAAACAGTTGACATGTGCCAGATGTCAGGGGAATGTTGGAAAGTACAGTGCCTTTGACCAAGAGACCCGGTGGAAGACAGCAGAAGCTCTCTTTGCTCCCCGGAAAATACTCCGAATTCTCATCAAAACAGCAGATATTCCCTTGCTTCCTCTCTCTCCTCTACAAACTTTCACAGATCATTCTAGTTAAAAGTAACCTTTCCTATTTCTGCATATACCCAGAAAATTTATAGGAGCTCCTCCCAACACTCCTAGGCCATGACCCGCATTCTCTATAACAACTGCAATGGCTGCCTCTGCCGACCAGATGTGAGCCCCTTGACGACAGACAGGAGTGAGTCCTTCCTCCTCCCTGGGTCCCCCCGGTTCTTCCCTTACACAGTTCAGTGCAAACAAGGGCTGCCAGCAAATTTCAGCATCTTTTTAATGTATTTATATCCCACCTCATCCCTTGAAGGTTTTGAGGTAGCTTATAACTTGAATAAAATAAAATAATGGTAATGTTAAAGTAAAATACAAAGAAAGGTGAAAAGCTATGCCTTGGAGAAAAGAACAAAAATATGTAATGGATCACTTTGGCAAACGGTCTGGCAGTTCCTTAAATGGTAAAACATAAAATTCCCACCTGACCCAGCAAGTCCACTCCTAGGTACATACCCCAGAGAACTGAAAACAGATCCACAAAAAACTTGTACTCAAATGTTGATAGCAACATTCTCCAAATTGGTCAGAGAGTGGAAACAACCCAGTTGTCCATCAGCTGATGAAGAGATGAACAAAATGTGGCATCTCCATACAATGGAATACTGAGTCATGCTACAACATGGACCAACCTTGAAAACATTAAGTGAAGGAAGTCAGTCACAAAGGCCACATATTGTATGATTCCATTTATCAGAAACATCCAGAATTGACAAATCCACACAGACAGGAAGTAGATTAGTGGTTGCCAGGGGCTGGGGAGAGAGGAGTGTGGGGGAGTGACTGCTAATGGCAGGTGATGACAATGTTCTGGAGTTAGGTAGAGTTGATGATCGTACAACTTTGTGAATACACTGATAACCACTGAATTATACACCTTTAAAGAGTTAACATTATGGTATGCAAACGATATCTCCATTAAAAAACTCTGTGGCTGATAAAGGCTGCATAGTTGATACAGCCTGAGCTTCCGGGTAGCCAAAGTTATAAAGGAAGATGCCATCAGTTATGTACTTATCAAAAGGAAGAATACATTTAGACCTCAAAGGAAGCAGAACTTTAAATAGTTCAGCATGCTGGAACAAATATTGCAGAGGAGGTTGATGTTAGGAGTACTGGGAAAATACTGAATTAATGGATCAGTCAAGACAGGAGACAAAATAAATTCAAGCAGCTGGTTATGAGAGATAAAGGAGGATGCCGCTGGCATTTCACCCAGAGGCTGTGGACAGGTCAAAGGCGTTGTTTCTGGGAAACAGTAGGAGATTGTGAGGGGGAGCTAGACTGTGGGTAGGGCCAGTGTCCTTGGTCCTGAGTGGTCACTTCCTCCTGAACAAGCATCATTCTGGCAGCTCCCTCACTTCCAGGTGTATCCACGTTCTGTTCCTTTAAGTAGCACTGTTCCTTCCTTTCTTTTTCTTGTCTCCTGTGACTCTGGCAGACTTTATAATTGTTAAAAAGCAGAGCAAGGAGAGGATCCATTTTTGCATTGCTTTCAGAGTGGGAGTAATTCAGCTTCCTGAATTAATGTGAAGAATCCTAAAACGGGAGATTATCATCACAGCCTCTTGCCAACCCTTCCCTAGAGCCAGAGGGCAAAAGGGAAGGCCCAGACAGAATGCAGACCGGATCCAAAGCTTAGGTTTCTTTTAGTTAAATAAAACCCAGAATTTGACTATGCTAGGCCTGGAACACCAGAGAGCGCTGCTGCACTGCCAGAAGTCAGCCTCCGCCGAGTCTGCTCCACCCCACCCTACCCCAGGCGCTATCGAGCGAGTCTGCCTGCTCCAGGGGGCAGGTTGGTTCTCAGCGACACTCTGAAACGTTCAGGCCTGAGAACCCAGTATAAAGAGGCTCATACCAGTGCACAAAAGTCAGCAGTTTCCTGCAGAGCACAGTAGAGTAACACTATAGCCAGGGAGGCTCCCAGAGCACCCTACCACAGCCCTGGACCAGGCTGATGGGGAGCCTGCTATACCCAGTGTCCCACCCACTGATTTCTGGCTTGTACATCTAGGTTCTGACTGATCTTACAGATCTTACTTTCCCCTTGGCCTTCTCACTCGTCTCATCATGGGGAGCAGGGAGGGAAGTTGGTTGTAGTGTCAAGGTCAGCTGGGCAGGGACTTTCTTGCAGGCCTGGGGTGGGCTCTCCTGGCCGCATACACTCACACAGGGGAGGCTCCATGGCTCCAGAAGCACCCTTTACCCCTGGAAAGGCAGGTCTCAATGCTGCCATTCCGCAGGACCTGGGGGATGCCGTGCATGGCACAGACGCCACCTGGCTCCTGATCCCAATGACAGGGCTTCTCTGGCTTCACTATGACCTTGTGCCCTTCCATTTCAGGTGACTCTTTAGGTCCTCCTAAAGGGCTCTGCTGGCATCAGGCAGATTCCTCTGTTTAGTCTCTGGTATGTTCTGGCCCAAGCAAAGCTACCCATTGGGCTTTCCAGGTATAGGGCGGTCATCAAAAGGAACAAGGAATCTGCAGGGTTTAAACCATGAGAACAACAGGCTCTGCTGTGTCCAAGAGCCCTGTGTCCTTGGGGCCATCAGGCATCAGGAGGTATTAACTTCTGTCCTGAATTCCTCCAATCTCAAGTTTCCAGTACCACTGGCTGGAAGCTTTCTGGGTCCTCTCCTCAAATGACCCTCTTTAAGAAAATCTTGCTCCCCTCCTTCCCTCTGCAGGGAGGAGAGAGGCCTCATCCTGCTGGGGCCTGCTGAAGAGGGTGCTTCTGTGGGGGCCGTGTGGCTTCAGCATACCCTCCCCTTCTCCCTCTTCAGACACTGAGGCTGGGCCTGTGGAGAGGGGCTCTTCACAAATGATTAAAGGAGTGGAATTTGAACAGTTCCATCTTGGCAATGTGACAGGGTGTACACACCCTCAACTAAGAGAACACAGGATCTCAAAAGCCAACGAGTCATCCAGAATCTCAAAAGTGACCAGAATCATTTTACTAGATGCAGATTTTTGAGACAAGAAGAATCATTAGACTTACATTAAAGGGGCACTAGTGGTAATTACGCTGTGACAATAGGGACAAACTGGGACAGCCAACAAGGAAATATGATCACACTGGAGATTATGGGAATTGGTGTCTATTATCCCAGATGTGCCCCCATCTCCCTTTCTCTCACCTGCTCAGAGGGAGCAGGTGGGCTCAGAGAGCCTGCTGGGGACTCTCACTCCTGCAGATGACCCTTATCACCCTGCCCGGAGCTCACCCTGCTGCCTCCCAGGAAAAGCTGGTAAAGGCCCTGGGGTCCTCCTCACGACCTTTAGCTTGTGAGTCCCCCTCATGCAGCCTGATATTCCAGAAGCAAGGGTGCTGCTAGGAGATAGGGCTGCTCTCAGCAGTAAGGCTTGTCCTGCATGCAGCTGATATGCTCTGGGGGTGGGCTCTGACTTAGGGGTGAGGCCAGATCTGCCCAATGATGGCTGGCTGGCACTGGACTCCTGTCTGCATGTGCCTCCTCCACCTGTGTACTGGGCACACCAACTACCCTGAGTACCTCCATGGGCCATGCCCAGCTGCCAGGAACACCCTTTAGCCCCAGCCCAGGCAGAAACCTCAAGCTTTCATAGCTCAGATCAAAGACACCCCTAGGCTGTCTCTCCCTCAAGATCCCCTCGTCTGTCCCTCTCCCGAGCCCTGTGTTCCTGAAATGTGTCTGTTATTACCTGGCTGGTTCTTACCAGCTGCAGCTCTTCTTCATTGTCACATTTCAGGGCCCAGCACGGAGCTGGCTCCCTGTGCGTGCCTGCCTTGCCTGCGACCCATCAAAGCACCTGTGGCTAGAGCCTCCACCACCAGCACATATATCCCCGAGGCTGATCACATTTTGGAAGCACAGCCCATGAGATGAGGTGCTTCCTTCTGTGCTAAGAGCACTCCCTGTGCCCTCTCCAGTGGCCCCCTCTTCCTAGGCCTCTCAGAGGGTTGCAAGGAGCCCTGTAGGTCAGAAGCCATTCCTACCTAGTATGAAGGCCACCACATAGTTGGAGATCTGGCCCATGCCGACGATGACAAATAACATGGTGAACATCTCCCAGTTGATGGAAAAAATCTGCAGGAAGCTGAAGCCAGTCTGCACAGCCATGGTTGCGAAGAGGATGGTCTTTCTGCCAAACCTGTAGAGTACAGCACAGGACAAGACATGGCCCGTGAAGTTCACAGCAGCACTGTCATAAGGGCATGTGGAAACTCTGAGTCAGGCACTGCTGCAGACTTTGTTTTTCTCAGGGCTGTGACAGGCTTCCTTACTGTCATACCCTCCCAGGTTCTTCCTTGGTGAGGCCTCAGGCATCCATCTGCCCAGGAGGTAACTTCTGAGATTCTGAGCCTCCTGTATCTTGAAAGCACAGAGCAGCTTATGCAAGGACCATGTGGAAATCTACTCTTTAGAATGAGTCATAGGTAGAAGATGCCATCATATTTCTGGAATGTGAGTATAGATTGCAGATACATCTAACAACAACAACATGAGAATTCTGTCAATCCAGAACCAAGAGTCCTTCTATGTCAGTGGTTTCCAACCTTGGCTGCGCCCGGAATCAAGAGAGCTTTAAAAAATACCGGTGCCAGCACCTGCCTTCCAACATGCTTATCGTCCGGATGTAGACAATTGGATGCAGTTTGGGTATTGGGACTTAAAAATATTCTCTACTGTGCATCCCAAATTGGGAACCACTGCTCTATGGAAAGTGTAGCTTCCAGCAACATCCATTAATGACACTATAGTTGGCTTAAGTCTTTTTTTTTTAATAAGTCTTAATTTGACTTTCTGATAGTGTCCAATGGCTAGAAGGGAACACAGGTATGAGCAGAACAGTCTCCCACCCCATCTTCCAAACTCAGTTCTCAGTCTGTTGGGTCTGGGGTCCCACTGGGCTTCATGACTGGGGGAGGGACAGCCACTCCTCTGGGAAGCCTTCCCCAAGACTGACGTTGAGCATTCCCACCTCCCTGCTCTGATACCCAAGAACATTCAAGGGCCGGTGAGGGCACATCTCCCAGAGCTGCGATGCTGTCTCCTCCTGACTCTGTGCCCCAGGAGGCCCAGAACCAGCCTGGGTCAGCTCTGTGGCCCCAGTGTCCAGCCAGGGGCCTGACCCACAGCAGAGGCGGGTGCACTGTTAGGGAAGGGTACTCCCCAGAGTCTGGCCCTGACTCTGGCTGATGGCTGGTTGTGGATAGATCACAAGGCATCCAAGAGCTAGGGGTGGGGTGGGGAGGCAGTGGGGAGGCAGCAGTGTACATTTTCGAGGGGTTTGGTGATATAAGGGCTCCACTTTTCAATGAGTCCCCGCAAGGGGCTGAGGGAAGAGGACAGAGGAGACATCATGGTTCCTCCTATCACTCACTTGGTGGCCTAAGGGGCCTCCCTTTCTCTGGGTGAAAATACCCTAAATTCAGTCCAACCCCAAGACAGGCAATGAATTGACAATCACCCTTCCTCCCGCCCAGTACTCTTACCTGTCTGACAGCTGCCCAGACACAAAGGAGCCGAGGAGCACGCCTACGAAGAACAGGGAGGTAGTAAGGGGCGTCTTCCAATCATCCTCACACACCAGACTCCACTGCCAGGGAAAATGTGAAGTGTGAGCCCAAATCCTCCAGCCCAGCTCCAAGGGCATAGCATGGCAGCCAGGCAGGCTCTCCTCCCCTGTGCCAGGCTGTCACTTATATGCAAAGGGCATAGGCCTCGCAGCCCTGGGGTTGACTCCTGACGCTACCATTTACTGGGGCAAGTCACTGTCCTGCCTGAGGCTCACCCTCCTCTTCCGAAAGGGAGGGTGATACCTCTGGCCCTGCTTACATCGTGTATTAAGAAGTCAGCTGAGGCACGGCTTTGACTGGTGACCCCTCAGCTGTGAAGCAGTATGAAGCAAAGATGCCATTTCTGCTTCAGAAGGCATCACAGCATGGAGGGAAGGTGTTTGAAATGCCTGCAGGGCAGGGTAGAGGGCATGGTCACATGATCCAGTTGTAAAAGATTCCTCTACTTTGTTGGAAAGTGCACGCGGTCCCCAGGGGCCTGTGATTATATTTTCTGAACAGAATCCTCCAGAGAACCCTGTGCTCCCTGGCCCACTTATACCATAGACCACACCTAGGGCCTGATCTGGGGCTCCACTGTGCTAGGAGTGGGGTTCCCACCCCTCTCCAGTGCTCCTTATCTCCCCTCTGCAGTGCTCCTTATCTCCCCTCTGCAGTGCTCCTTATCTCCCCTCTGCACTCCTCTACCCTCCTTCCCATGCAGCCCTCACAGAAGTGCGGTCCCTCCCATTCCCCAGGGCCCGTGGGCTCTGGTAGCCCTAGCAAGTCCCTGCTTGTGAACCCATAGAATGAGAGTTTGAGGCAGAGTTTCAGTTTCCAGCTCTTAAGTCAATTCAGCAAAATCTCAAGGGGAGGCTGCAGAAAATTCAGTGTGTTCAGTGAGCTTTCATTAATTAAAAAACAAGCAGGTGGTGCCAATAAATATTTTGGGGCTGTGGTCACGGTGTTGCCGTGTGTGGCAAGATGATCCAGACTATAGGAAAAATCCCCTGCCTCCCACCCAATCCCAGCCCCACCCAGCAGTGGTGCTGCTCCCATGACATTCCCAAAGCAATTTAGATCTTAATCCTCACAACTTCCCTGAAATAGATTTATAAATGAGTTCACATATTTATATCATGTCCCATCTGCAGCAGAGAGAGGCGTTTATAAGGATACATACAAGAGAAATGTGTACAACAAAAAGCTAAGGGAATCTGGGCAAATGAAAATCTCAGGGGAGGAGGGGCTACAAAATAACCAAGCCAGTGGTAAGACTGACCTCTGGGTGTCCTGCCCAAAGGCCTGTCTGCTTGCCAGGGAAGCCCTGAAATCTGGCTTTGAATATCCCAGCAGCTCAGCTCTCAGGATCATGGTGTGCAAAGTGATAAACTCATTCTGCAAAAGCTCAGTTTTTCTGAGTACTGAGACCTGAGAGAAGCCTCTCCTATATACTTCCTTCCACAAAGGGGCCACTCTGTGTTGTTGAGGATAATGTCTTTGAGAACACCCCATCCTGGAGACAATAACAAGATTCATAAATCTGCCTCTGCTTGTTCTCACAATGCTGGTTACAGGTGGGACGCCCAAGCACAGCTCCGCAGAAGAAAAACAATGTGGACCAGAAACTCTGCTCTCTACCCCTCAGGCACAACTGAGGATAAGTCTGAAACCACACCCAGAGTAGTGTTGCTTCAACTGGGGTACCTGAATAGGCTTCAGGGGAAAGGGCACAAACCCTCCAAAACTGTATGGCCAGATTCATGTGCCCTGCGAGGCCACGGGTCAGAAGGGGTAGACAAGACATGTACCTGAATTAATGACCACCCACTTCTAAAACATCACTCACCAAAGTGTCAGAAAAGATCTTGGGATCTGCCCCAACACACAAAGAGGTTAGTGATTGCGGCCCCAGAGCCTCGTGATGTGGAGTATAACCCATTTTGCAGAAGAGTAAACTTAGGCTCTGAGACTGGTGTTTGCCTGAAGTCATAGCAAGTAAATACCAACTTGGGCCTCAGAACTTAACCATGTCCCGCTTTGGACAAGAACTCCAAAGGCCAGACAAAACGAGTTTATTACGCCCTACACTTCTTCAAGGAATGTGACACCAGGACTAGTGGCAGAAGATCTCCCCCACACCACAGCCTTTAGCCTTGGACAGAGCCAAGAAAATCCCAAGTTTGGTAGGGGTGTTAACGTGTCCATTATCAACAAACACCATTCCATCTGCAGTCAAGCAGAAAAGCTCTTCCAAAGATAATGTACTCTCCTTTGTGTTTTTAAAAATATTTTTCTGTCAGGACATTGCCTTTGGGCAGGATAGATAGCACTTAGAGAAAGAAAGGAAAGAGGAAGGCTGTTAAGATGTGGAGCCAGGCATTGCATGAGCAAAGGTAGTAAACAGGACTGGCTACCTAATTTGCAGGCCCAGTGCAAACTGAAAATGCAGGACCCCTTGTTCAAAAATGATTAAGAATTTCAAGACGTTGGGACTTCCCTGGTGGCGCAGTGGTTAAGAATCCATCTCCCAGTGCAGGGGACATGGGTTCGAGCCCTGGTCCGGGAAGATCCCACATGCCGCGGAGCAACTAAGTCCGTGTGCCACAGCTACTAGAGCCCACATGCTGCAACTACTGAAGCCCACGTGCCTAGAGCCCGTGCTCCGCAATGAGAGAAGCCACCGCAATGAGAAGCCTGCGCACCGCAACAAAGAGTAGCCCCCGCTTGCTGCAACCAGAGAAAGCCCATGCACAGCAACGAAGATCCAACACAGCCAAAAGGAAATAAATAAATTTATAAAAAAAAAATTTCAAGACATCAATAGCAGAGCATTAAAACCAAGTGTGGGGTCCTGTGTGACTGCATGGGTTGATATGAAGCTGGCCCTGATAGTGGGTCAAGCCTAGTCTCTTTGGGGAATGGAGCAAGGTAAGGAGTTCTGTATTGGGTGCTGAGAAGGGTGAGGTGAGGGCCAGCTCCCCATTGCTCTCCTACTGGAAGCCATGAGGCCATGGTTCTAGGTCCCCCTTCCTTCCCTGAAGAGGGGCCCAAGAAGCCCTGTCAACACCATGCAGGGAGATCCTGTTCACAACTGGCAGGGGAAGGCAGCTGGACCTCATGGCTACTTATGGTTGGTTCCAAGGCTGGGTTCCCTCTTGGGGAATTACTGTACCCAGAGAGTCTTTTCAAAAGCTGCAAGAGACCTGCAAGATTGGCAGATAAAGTTTTCACTGCGGCTTATGGAACTGGGGTCCAATAAATCAGCTGCCAGCCTGTTTTCTCCACGGGGCTATTCTTAAGGAGGCCAGGTCCTGCCTGCCCCAGTCCCTTGGGGTTTCTAGGGGTGTGTCTTGGGGCCTCAATAGCCACGTCCCAGGGAACTCCCTGTGGTTAACAATGACATGGCAGGACCAGTGGGAGACAGTCTTTTCCTTGATGAGACAGAACTGTCCCGTGGGTCACTGCACATGTGTGTACACACACGCACACACAAGCATACATACATACACACAGTCAGCTCAGAGGCTAATGGCTGATGGCCTGGTGAGGAGCTGCCTGGCATCGCTCTGGAGCTGTGCTTTAAGGTCAAATACCACCATTACTGAAACATAACCCACATTCCCACACACACCATAGACAAAGAGTAGAATGTCCCAAACTGTGCCGGGTTGAGGCACTGGATGTGCTCTCACAGGATTACTGTGTCTGTCTCATCCTCAAGGTCTTAGACCAATGTTCCCTAACAGAGCAGAGTAAGCTCCATTTGGCTGGGCCATCTAGCCTTCAGCTCTGCTTTAAAAAACAAAAAACCACGTCACAAGGTAATAGGGGACATGAGGTCACTCCTGGCCTAGAAGAATATGCGTCTCATGCCCTCAACAGTAATAATAATAGAAAGGACAAGTACAGTCTATTGTGTGCTCACTGGGTGCCTTGTATTACTCATGGGATCTCAAAGTTGCCATGTGAAATGGGTGTTCTCTTTATCCCCATTTTACAAATGAGTTAATGAAGGCACAGCGCAATGAAGTGACTAGCCTGAGTTCTAGTGGATTGGTAAAAGGAATTGCTTAACCATTTATTCAACCATCACTGAGCACATGCTCTGGGCCAGACTGTGTATGGGGCACAAAGCAGACATGGTCACTGCCTCCACAAAGCTCAAGGTCAAGCATACTTTACAGGACAGATCAGGTGTGCACATGTGCATGCATAAGCCCAGCTGTCCTGGGTGGGGTGGGCTTTGTTCTGGGCCACTGTGCTCTCTGGCTAGAGAGGAAAAGAGGCACCTCCTGCTCAACCTTCTCCAGGTGGACAGAGTTCTAAAACCTGAACACGTTCATATAATCATTCTAGATAACTAATGCATGTACAAGGCTAGGCACGTGGTAGATGCTTAACAAATTGTCGATGAATGAATGTTGAACAATTAGGAGTAATGGAAAATTAGTTTGGAAATGTGTGGTATCACACACTGTCCTTTTTTTTTTTAAATTTACATTTATTTATTTATTTTTGGCTGCGTTGGGTCTTTGTTGCTGCGCGCGGGCTTTCTCTAGTTGCAGCAAACGGGCTACGCTTCGTCGCAGTGTGCGGGCTTCTCATTGCTGTGGCTTCTCTTGTTGCAGAGCACGGGCTCTAGGAGGGTGGGCTTCAGTAATTGTGGCATGTGGGCTCAGTAGTTGTGGCACACGGGCTTAGTTGCTCCGCGGCATGTGGGATCTTCCCTGAGCAGGTCTCAAACCCGTGTCCCCTGCATTGGCAGGCAGATTTTTAACCACTGCATCACCAGGGAAGTCCCTCACACACTGTCCTTTGAAAATCACCCTCAACCTTGAACTCTCCAAGTAACCAAAGTCTAGCAATTTTAGCCTTTACCAAAGCCATAAAGGATCATAAAGATAAGTGTATCCCTGTGACCTGCATAGAACTGAGAACTCTGGAAGGCAGCCTCATGTTGAGCAAAGAGCACAGGCTCTCTTGGGTTCTACCACTTCCAGCTGTGTGACTTTGGGCCACTCATTCACCTCCATTAGCC